TCAAGCTAGTGTTAAAACATCATAAAAAAAAATATATGTTGTCATTTAAAAATTTTAAAGAGCTTCAAAGAGTCATATTAAATATAGCTTTTCTGCAACATGAAAATACCATTAAGAAAGCATTTTGCATCTGGAAAAAAATATCAAATCCGTGTCATTTTAAAGTAACGATGTGGTCAAGTGGTCAACAAGGAAGCGGCTGTTCAACCAAGCATGCTGTCCATCATCAGCTGTTTCACCCGAGGCGTCCAATCAGTGACGGCCTCACAGGACACGCCTTGTTCCTGGAGTGATGCAAAAAAAATCCCATCACGTTTGCTGTAATTGATCAAAAAGAAACGATTGTATTCCACGTGAAGCTTTGGAGCACGTTCCTCTGTGCATGCAGCGATAAATATCCAGAGAGGAGCGTCATATCTCTTCATTAGCAACTTGAATGACAGCAGCAACTCAGATGAAATGATGATGCATGACAATACCCGGGAGATATTGGAAAAAGATCCCCACAAACTGGGATGTAGCCTGCTGTACAATTACAGGCCACTGCACGCCAACGAATGGAACGAGATTATAAATTGAGAAAAATGATTGTGCAAAAATAGCTATAGCGTTGGATGACAAATGATCAGATATACATTTCTGAAAATCAAAAACGATTGAATTATTTGTGTTGGCCGATATGTTACATTTTCCCCAACGTTAGCCTAACAAATTGCAATAGCAGATCCATTCAAGCAGTTTTTTGTGTGGCACTGTGCCCACTACCATCTGTTCCACTTTTCCAACAAACCCCAACTCTGGTTTAGTCCAAATAAACCCTTTTTCAGAGAGATAGAGTTGAGCTTACTATTTGGGGGCCTGACCCTAACCCTGACCCTCAAACTAGGAATATCAAATTACGGTAAAACATTGGAAATATGGATTTAGCCAATTGCCCGATAAAATTAATGTCCAATCCCCTCAACCCTAATGTAGACGTATTCCCACTTTTTAATCTTTTTGCAATCAGCATCAATTATGTATTCGTGATATAGCTCTTCTCAAATCATTGTAACATTATTGTGCTCTCAATATCTGAAAATATAACACTATTCAGCGTCTCACAATCATACATAGAGATTTGTGTTGGCCGATATGTTTAATTTTCCCAAACGTCAGCCCAACAATTGGTAATATCAGATACATTCACGCTGGTTTGTGAGCAGCACTGTGCAAATGTACCCTTTTTCCAGATAGTTAGATGTAAGAATGCACTCGCTCTTTCGGGGCAGACCCTTAAACTAGAACAATAAAAGGAAAATAACACGGGGGAAAAAAATGCATTTAGCCAATAATTGGCCAATCCCCCCAACCCTTAATTGGACATAATCCCACATTTGATCTTCGTGCGTCAATCAGCATCAATAATTTATTCGTGATCTAGCTTCTCTCAAATTAAATGTACAAATTATTGTAAAAAAAATGTTACCCATCAAACATGATGTCCTCCCCTGTACTAGGAGCCACCAACGATCTTAAAGAGCTACTTTGTGGTGAGCATGTTATCCACATTTCTAACGAATATTTCTGTTTCAATCCAGTGTAACGAGTCCAGATGTTGACTTTGTGTCTTGTCAAACTTGCACTGTTTCTGTTGCATTGAGTCCAGAAAGACCAGCAATTGTTTTTGTACTCAAGGAAATGTTATGTATTATGATTGGCAGATTGAGTTTCCCGATTGCATTTATTCACACAAAACACCCAAAGCACCAACTGTGAAGACGCCCATACATATGGACCATGTGTGTGTTTGAGTGAGTGTTGTGTGTGTGTGACTGATATCAAAACTAGACATGATATATTGGTTTTATTCTTCATCGGTCATCTCTGTTATTTTGTTGGGATGAGGCTACATTTTTTCGATCAAGGTGAAACGACCCAAGCTAATGAGTTTCAGGGCTTCAGCGTTAGCCAAATCCTATAGCATATTAATGTCTGTTTATGACATGGTTGTTTAGAGAGAATTGGATACCGGGGCATCCTTACACCATTTTTTATGACTTAAAGGGGACATACCGTATGTTCATTTTTTGTTTCTTATCAGTATGTAGTGTCTCTACTTTAAAGAGTCCTCTCCTGCTGATGTTCAGGTGTATATCAGTATGTAGTGTCTCTACTTTAAAGAGTCCTCTCCTGCTGATGTTCAGGTGTATATCAGTATGTAGTGTCTCTACTTTAAAGAGTCCTCTCCTGCTGATGTTCAGGTGTGTATCAGCATGTATTGCCTCTACTTTAAAGAGTCCTCTCCTGCTGATGTTCAGGTGTATATCAGTATGTAGTGTCTCTACTTTAAAGAGTCCTCTCCTGCTGATGTTCAGGTGTATATCAGTATGTAGTGTCTCTACTTTAAAGAGTCCTCTCCTGCTGATGTTCAGGTGTATATCAGTATGTAGTGTCTCTACTGGGTCATGTCTCGCCCTGTCTCGCCCCTTAGCCTATCACGTACAATGTGTTGGACCAC